TACCTACCTATCTATCTATCTATCTATCTATCTATCTATCTATCTATCTATCTATCTATCTATCTATCTACCTACCTACCTACCTGTCTACCTACCTACCTGTCTACCTGTCTATCTATCTACCTACTTACCTACCGATCTATCTATATATCATCTGACTATTTCTATCTATCTATCTATCTATCTATCTATCTATCTATCTGTCTGTCTGTCTGTCTGTCTGTCTGTCTGTCTGTCTGTCTGTCTATCTATCTATCTATCTATCTAATCATCGTCAATTAATTTAGTCATTGATTGATTGATTCATTCATTCTCAGTGGATGAAATAATTTTTTTCTTGTTAATTTTCTTGAAATTTTAGTTTAATTTTTTAAATTTTTGTACTAATGGATTTTTCTGTAATTAAAGTTTTAATCATTATTATTCATGTATTCTTAGTGCCTATTATACTGGTAGATTTTAAACAGATTGTGTTATTTATAGGCCAGAGATTTTTCTGGTCTGCCAGGCCTTGAAGAAGTAGTTCTGTCTTCTGGTGGGATCGAGCAGATTGACGCCAATGTGTTCAGATCTCACGTGTTGTTAAGAACTCTGGACCTTCAAAAAAACAATTTGAGACAGCTTCCCCGTGGCCTGCCCTCTGGCCTGGAGATCCTGCATTTGGGCCACAACAGGATCCACAGCCTACAAGAGTCACCCCTGGAGGGCCTCGAGAAGCTGCGGGTCTTGAACCTCCAGAATAACCAGATTAGCACCTTGTGCGCAAACACCCTAACATTACTTCAAAAGCTTGAGTGTCTTTATCTGGATGGAAATAAAATCGAATCAATACAAATGCGCCCCCAGGTTGCCCTTTCTAATTTGCTTAGCATGGGAAGCAACAGGATCTCCTCCATATCATCAACGTTCTTCTCTTCACTGCAGCTTCTAAAAACGTTCGATTTGTCTTCAAACCGCTTCACGAAAGTCCCTCATGATCTTCCTCGGTCTCTGGTTCATCTGAACTTGGACAGTAATCAGATCCGATCGCTGAGGAATCGTGACATGTCCCAGCTGCACAACCTCATTACTCTTTCTGTCAGCTCTAACAGGCTAGTATCAGTCGACGGGGGTCTGCGCCTGCCTAATCTCTCTGTGTGCGAGTTGGCAGGAAACCAGCTACGAATACTGCCTGGAAGATTGACCTCTAAACTTGAAAAGCTGGACTGCAGGCAGAACAATATCCAGGAAGTCTCTTTTCAGCAACTAGCAGGGATGAAACTACTGAAACATCTCTTTTTGGAAAACAACTCCATCCAAAACTTTGAAGCCAATGCCCTGAGAAACTGCATTCAACTAACCAGCCTAGCGTTAGAACAGAATCTGCTTTCTGCTATTCCTCATGGGTATGTGCATTTATTTCACTTAACATATGACCCTGGAGCACAAAAGCAGTCTTAAGTTGCTGGGGTATGATTGTAGCAATAGCCAAAAATACATTGTATGGGTCAAAATTATAGATTTTTCTTTCATGCCAAAAATCATTAGGACATTAAGTAAAGATCATGTTCCATGAAGATATTTTGTAAATTTCCTACTGTAAATATATAAAAACTTAATTTTTGATTAGTAATATGCATTGCTAAGAACTTCATCTGGACAACTTTAAAGGCGATTTTCTCAATATTTTGATTTTTTTGCACCCTCAGATTCCAGATTTTCAAATAGTTGCATCTCGGCCAAATATTGTCCTATCTTAACAAACCATACATCAATGGAAAGATGAAGTATAAATCTCAATTTTGAAAAATTTACCCTTATGACTGGTTTTGTGGTCCAGGGTCACATATTGATATTCATTTGATTTCCTCTGAAGTAAAGTCAGTCTGTGTTTTTTAGTATCATTGAAATAATACTATAGTTTTTATTTTATTTTAACATTTTGATATTAATATTAATTAATATGATTAATATTAATTAATTACTAATATTAATATTTTCCAGTTTTCATTTTAATTTCAGTTAGTTTTAGTCATTTTGGTATGTTTTTGCCTTTTTGTATAGTTTTTACAGTTATATTGTCTTATTTTAGTTATTCAAGTCATTACTAAATGAAAATGAGAAACATTGCCTTGGCAACTAGTTAAAATAAAACACACTGCATGTTTTATTTTATTTCAGTTATCGTTCATTTTATTTCAAGTAATGAAAATGTTTTTTTATTTATTTTTATTTATGAGTTTATGCATTTGTTTATTTATGCATTTATTCATGGATGTATTTAATCATTTACACACTTATTTATTTATGCATGCATACATTTACTATATTTATGCATTATGCATTTATTTGTTTATTTTTGCTTTTATCAGACTGAATATGATGTGATTAATTGGTCATGTTAAATGATAACTGTTTGATAACTGTTTCTTTTAATCAGTTGTTTTAATATTCTTTTTATACCAGCCTTCCAGAGACACTGGTCCGTTTGGATCTGAAGGGGAACAACATTGACACGATACATGAACGTGAGCTGAAGCCTCTCAGGCGACTGCAGGTGTTAAATCTGCGCAACAACAAACTCTCCACCCTGCCTGCATTGAACCTACCAAAACTGAAACTTCTATATTTGTATGGAAATCCATGGCAGTGCAGCTGTGAACTCCTTGAGGTCAAAAAGGCCCTTTTGGCACAGGATGTGGAAATCAGGCCTGATTTCTGCAGCGAGCCTGTCCATGAATCTCTTGATGAATGGCGAGCTTATGTGCTGGCACAAGATATCTGTGAAAAGCAGACCAGTGATTTGTTACTGGAGAGAAAAACTGATCACATAGATAGCGAGGAATATGATGATTATGATTTGTAAATGTAATCCTTACATATGAAGACATAACTGCAATGTTGTTCTGCCTCTCTGCATGTTTTGTTTCTGCCATCCCATACAGAATGAACAATAAATGATCACTGTTGTAGTGTTTTGTCCAATTTGGTCACCATCAGTGATATGGACGCGTTAAAATAAAATCAACTGTATTTGGATTGGAAAAGATGGTTTTCAGATGGCTTCGTTTCATTAACCTCCAGAAAGAAATCATAAACAGATATAAATAATATTGAAAGTATTAATTTAATATATTTTGTAATTTAATATTAATCATTTATATGAATTTTTTACACTTCTAATACCATATAATATTTATATCATATAAAATACAATAATATTAAATTAAAATATATATTAAGTGATCGGAGAAATGACAAACAACAAGCCCTCCTCTACACTGCCCAAAACTCGCGTTTAAATCATCAGTGGCAAATTCTTTAAATATAAAAAACCACGGTGAAAGCCGATCCGGCGATCCACAGCGCAAAGTTGTGGATATTTCCTCAGCGACCAGCACGGATCAGCTCCAGGCATGACGAAGCAGATATCGTCCTCTTTTGGAAGACCAAACAAAGTAGTTTCGCTTTCACAACGAATCACACAGTGCCTTCACGACATGGCGGCAGCAACAACAATACTACAGCAAGAATAAAAGTTATGCCTTCTTTCTTTGCGTGAACATTTGGGCGGCGTTATGCAAATCTTCCCACATAGTGACGTAGATATGTGGGGGCGTGTTAGAACGAGCCGTTTTAGGTAGGTGTGGCAGACTCTTAACTTTTATAAAGAATATCTCTTTGGATTTGAGACTTTAGTCTTTGCAACTTTACAGATCTTCTTTATGCACCAAGAGCTTGTAACACTCCAAAGAGAAAGGAAAAATTGAAATCACATCATATGACCCCTTTAAATATCATTTATAGTTGCAAAGCTGATCCATTAAACAATGGCTAGTTAGTTAGTACGTGTTAAAAGTTGTTTTATAAAAACGTTTTATATATTCTATTAGATTAAGTAAAATCTGAAATGTATATCCGAAGTAAACATAAAATATTGCGTTTATTATATTCATAGATCAAATTAATAGACATTTAATAGGATAAACGCACATTCCATTTACCGGTACAGCAGCCAATCACATGGCACCATATCGCGTAAGGCTGAATTTTGATTTGTTTTGATCTGAGATCAGCCGTCAAATGTTCATCTCCCGCCTTAGCACTTGCGGGGACAACGTCACAACCGATTCCAGACCAGCGGTTAGAATGACGCGCAAACGCTCTGTCAGCCGTCCAATCAGAGAGCTCCATGTCACACAGCAGCGGGTTCAGAGTGGAGAGGTTGGCAGGAGGAAGAAATGGCAGCCGACGCGCTGCGGTGTTGGCAGTGACCAAAATGGCTAATTTTTCGATAGACCATCGCTCACACGTACACAGATTACTTTAATATGAGGAATTTACTTCAAAATCCCATAGATATATTCAACTTGGACGCGTTTAAAAGGCTTTAAAGCATGGCTTTACTGAATGAGATGGTGTGGCGGTTTTTGCACGCGCTGCTCTATGTCCAGCGCGCGCTGCTCGCCTGGTTCCGAGTCCACATCTGGAGGTGGAAACGGGCCGTGCTGGGATTGTTACTGCCTCTTGCCCTCGGCTTTCATAATCCGAAAAAGACTGGACCCATAGGCAAACGGACCAGCCGCCGGGTTCGCTGGGGAGCCGATGGCAGGACGTTAGAGAAGCTGCCACTTCATGTGGGGTTGTTGATCACTGAGGAGGAGATCCACTTCACTGACATCGCCAATCTAGTGGTCTGGTGCATGGCAGTAGGCATCTCATATGTCAGTGTTTATGATAATCAAGGTAAGACTCATCTGGATTCTTATGCATTGAATAAAGAGAAGTGAATGACAGTCACATGCATCCAGTCACCTGTTGTTTTTTCAACACCCAAGACTTGAGCAAAGAGATCATTGCACACACTTGATGTATTGGTGGAGTACTTTGTGTTCACATATGATTGCCTTTATGCCTTTTTTGCTCATATTGATGTCAGATAGTATGGTTATGGTTATCTGTAATTATATGGGTCAAAGACGACATGTCCCATTTTGGTTTCCGCATCAGATTAAATGTACAAGTGATTTTGTTACATACATAAGAAGTTTATATACATTAAAGTGATTTTATACACATTAAAGTGTCTACTTTAACGTTTCAAATAACTTATGTGAAAATAAAATGTCAAAATATGGGTGAAGTAATATTCCATCGTCATTCAGCATAACAGATATATTTATGCAAAAATGAAACAACATACTCATTCTGACCTGTAGTTATTAAAATATATAAAACAAAAAGTTACACATACATAAGAAGTTTATATACATTAAAGTGATTTTATACACATTAAAGTGTCTACTTTAACGTTTCAAATAACTTATGTGAAAATAAAATGTCAAAATATGGGTGAAATAATATTCCATCGTCATTCAGCATAACAGGTATATTTATGCAAAAATGAAACAACATACTCATTCTGACCTGTACTTATTAAAATATATAAAACAAAAAGTTACTAAAGTTTGTTTTATTATATTATGTTTATTAAATGTATTATGTTTTAAATGATTAAAAACCTCTTACTAACAAATGGGTAAAATATATAATTTATATAGGAAAAACGTGTGACATGCTCCAAAACGTTCGTATTCCTTGATTTCAAGAATGAAACTAGATTTAATAATACCGTTATTTGCATTAATAATTTCTTTGAACCCTTTGAAGGTTTTGAAATGCATATTAATCAAACTTTTATTCTCGTCTTTATAATTTAACAATCTGTCTGGTCTATTTCAAAACAGTCTCTTTCACCTCAATATATTTCTCAATGGAAGTAAAGGAGTGTCTGATATCATATTTTGCTTATAACCTTTGACAGATATTTTATAACTGACAAGTATATGGTAAGGGTGAACAGAGGTCTGAATCACATTGGTAATAGTGATTCGTAATTTAAAGGTCATAAATTTTGTTTGGCCAAGAAATTACCTTCGTTATACATTCATTCCACTGTGGACTAAGTCATTTTATGAAGAAACCAAGAAGTCAGTGGTTCTCAACTAGTGGTCGACCGATATTGTTTTTTTGACAGCCGATGCCGATATAAAGCCGATATAATTTTATTTATTTTAATTAATATTTAAGAAATTTGAAATCATTTGAAAATTGATTAAAAAATAGATGTTAAATAAACATACTTATACTTTAGATGACAAAGTATTTTTTCACATAAAAAGCGTCTGCTAAATGACTAAATGTAAATGTAAATGTAAACACGCGATCATGCAGGATACAAATGCACCCTTCACAATATCTCACAACTGGATCCGACTTAAGTTTGCAAGGTTTTTGAAATTAGATGTTTATTAGACATTCAAAGATTTGTTTAAATGATATAAATGCGTATTTGCTGAATGCTGACGGCAAACAAGAAAGTATTATAATGTTTGCCTTTCTATTACTAATAATATAAAAGTAATCATTATAAGACTTTTTGTATACATTCTATCTGATTATTAGACAGACTTCTATCCGTATTTAGACAGAAC